CAGAAGGCTGGAGGTTCAAACCCACCAGCCACTCCTTGGAAGGAAGGTTGGGCAATCTACTTCCGTAGTGATACTGCCTCAGAAACCCAGAGAGGGGTCACTATGAGTCGGGTCTGACTTTATGGCACATAAAAACAACAATACTGTTTTAATCTGTAACAGTGTAATAAGGAGGCCTGGAAGCACAACGGTTAAATGCTTGGCTGCTAACTGAAAGGTTGGTAGTTTGAACCCACTCACTGGCTCCACAGGAGAAAGACCTGGGAGTCTGGTCCCGTAAAGATTACAGCCTGGGAAACCATATGGGGCAGTTCTACTCTGTTACCTCAGGTCACTATGAGTCAGAATCGACTCAATAACACCCAACAACACTGTAATTCTAAGAAATGGCAGAATTTGCTAAGTAGCTGATTTAATCTAATAGCTAATTTAATTTCTGATAATCTTAGTGGAATAGGAGCAGTAACAAAATTACACTAAGTGTTTCACTGATTAAAATGAAAGGTGTTAGATAGGCAGCTTAGGGGACAGTGAGCTCACGTTTGTGGGAGAAGAACAATTGGGAAAGAAGGATGAGAATATTTGCACACCTTGAAGGATGTCATCAAGGTCACCGAAATGTACATGGAGAAACGGTTGAATTGTGTGTTCTGCTGTGTATATCTCAAAGGCCACAGCAGCGAAAAGTAAATTATATAAAAAAACGAAAGGGGAGATTGTGTTGTTGCTATTTGAAACAGCCCTCTCTCTGCTTCTGGCTATTGGCACCCCCTTTCCAGAACCCTGGCTGGGGTGATGTCACAGATGGGCGACCTCACTGCCGCCAGGGAAATGGGAATCTCCGTGGCACGGGGGAGGGCGGGTGCTTCTCTACCACCCCAACCCCCCATGTCTGTGGTGAAGTCGATTGAATTAGTCCTGCCCAAGGATGCCATCTACCTGGCCGGCTCCAGCCTAAAAGGGCAGGTGATTTTAATCCTCAACAGCACCCTGGTAGACCCCATAGTGAAGGTGGAGCTCGTGGGAAGAGGTTACGTGGAGTGGAATGAAGAAACTGGGGCGTCCCGCGATTATAGCAGAGATGTGATCTGCAACAACAAGGCAGACTACATGCATAAGACAAAGACATTTCCAGTAGAGGGTAAGGTCAAGGCCGGCAGCCATCCCTAGCCATAATGGGTCTGGAAGGTAAACACACCTGATAGTCAAGCAACAACACTCTTCACCAGAAAGATCAGCAACAGGCAAGGCCTGGTGGTTCCCCAGGAGGGAAGCCCTGTAGAACAATGACCATCAGATACATGACAATAACAAGACTAGCTTTCATCAGGAGCTGCCAGAACCCAGAACTCAAATGAGGATTCAAAGTAGTCCCCTTGGAAAAACCTATGCTTATTCCAGTGACTGCCTAGGGAGGCCTATATGAAATCTATCTTGTTATTTTACAGATAAATCTCCCACTGGGCAGTGAAGCTCTAACGAGGCAAAATTAGAGGCCCTGGGATCAGCAGAGAAAGAGGCTTGTAGCAGAAATGTGGGAGAACACCTGTCCAATCCCGCTAGGGTTAGGTCTCTCATTTGGATGGACACCAGGGAGTCTGGCCTCTGGGGAACCACGTCCTTTTCAAAATGTGTTCATGGGGAAGTTTCCAGATAGTCCTCCATCAAGCAGGACTGGCCAACACTTGGCTGAACAAGTTTAACTTTGTTGTTGTTGTATGTGCCGTCAAGTCGGACTCGACTCATAGCGACCCCTCTTTGGGTTTCTGAGGCCATATCACTACGGAAGTAGATTGCCCAACCTTCCTTCCGAGGAGTGGCTGGCTGGTAGGTTTGAACCGCCAGCCTTCTGGTTAGCAGTCAAGTGCTTTTAGCCACTATGCTACCAGAGCTCCTAGTTTAACTTTAGACTTCTTAATTTTACACCAGGTGGTCAGGGAAGGCCTCAACAACCCTGCACAGAGCTGAGTGATGAGAGAGGAATCAGCCACACAGACATCTGGGGACAAATGTCAACACATGGGAACCATGACACTCAATAATTGTGTCACCTCTTTATGTCCCAGTTAACCCATTTTGTACAATGGGACCAGAAAGTGGTCCTACCTCATAGATTATTCGGATGGCTTCATGGTTTAATGTCGCTTAAAGGGCTTAAAACAGTGCCAAGCACACAGTAAGTGCCAGTTGTTCTAATTTTTACAAAAATACCACCCCCGGCGTTCAGTACCATCCTTTCATATTTCTAAGTGATTAAATTCTCTTTCAAAAGCATCAGCCTGAATCTCGCAATGGAGTTTATCAAAACAAACAAACGTCTACTGAGCATCTACTGTGTGTGTATCAATAGTATGTGGGATGCAGCAGTGAACAAAACTGATGTCTTTGAGATTGCTGTCTGGTGGGGGGACTCAGACAACAGGCTATGATCAAATAAGAGACTTTCAGAGACGTGCAGGGAAGGGATAGAGCAGCGAGCTCACAGGAATGGAGGTAGTGTCAGATGGTGCTCCCCAGGCCTCAGCCATTACTCTGTCGAGCAACAATTATTAAGCAGCTACTATATACCATGCAAGGAGGCCTGGTAGCGTAGTGGTTCAAGCGTTCAGCTGCTAACCAAAAAGTTGGCCGTTTTAACCCACTGGCTGCTCCACTGGAGAAAGATGAGGCAGTTGGCTTCCGTAAACATCACAGCTTTAGAAACCCCATCGGGCACGGCACTTCTCTGTCCTCTGGGGGGCGTTGAGTCGGAATCAGCTCAAAGGCAGGGGGTGGATTATATACCGCACACTGAAGGTCAAGCTCCATGAGGGCAGGGAGTTTTTGTTTTTGTTTTTTTAATTTTTATTGTAATTTGGGTGAAAGTTTATAGAGCAAATTCATTTTCCACACAGCAGTTCATACACATTTTGCTTCATGACATTGACTGCAATTCCTCACAATGTAACAGCTCTCTTCCCACTTCCTCCCCATAGTCACCTCTTTCCTGTGTCCTTCCTAGGCATTCCTGCCCCCTGAGCTAGCTCCTTGTGCAAACACTGCCATTCTATTCTCCCAGCACTGATCACTCTAACAGAGTGTATCCACCTGATGTAAATGTTCACCCCATACGCCTGTCTATTGTTTGGCTGGAGTCTCAGGTCTCAGCAGGCTCTATCAGACCAGCAAACCTGGTCTTTTTTTTTAATGATTTTGGAGGGCAGGGGGTTTTGTCTGCCTTGCTTACTGTTGTAAATAAACACAGCCTGAAATTTTACCTGGCACACAAAAAAACCAAACCAAACTCACTACCATCAAGTTGATTCCTACTCACAGTGACCCCCTTCGGGTTTCTGAGGCAGCATGTGTGTGTTGTTGTTGTTGTTATGTGCCGTCGAGTCAGCCCTGACTCATAGCGACCCCTCCTTGGGTTTCCGAG